ATTTGATTGTATAGTGATAATAGTGAAAAACTGCTCTAGAACTGAAGGGATATATATGAGTTTACTGTTTCCTTAAAAAATAAGAATACCTGAAAAACATGATAATCATGAGTTGTGTGGCTAAGGACCATGATTAATCATATAATGAATAGTTTATACTTTAGTGAATGTTTAATTCCTTTTTATTTTTAGATTAATTGCACATCTTACTCAAATAATGTTATAACATAGATATATTAGGAATATGAAAACAATATAAAAATGTAAAAGTTTTTTTTCAATGGGAAAAAACTAAGGACAATTGTGTAGACCACTGTTATGAATTTACATGGTAGATATAAAGCATACCCTCAGATAAGAAATATCCCTGAAGAACTCCACTCTCAAAAAATCTGCAGTAGTAAACATCATCAAGCTTAAAGAAGGAGCAGTAAAATTCTCCATCAGTAAGGGAGGGTGATGACAGATCTAACATAGTTTTCTCTAACTGAAATAAAAACGGTGTTTCTGGTGAAGTGTAGTTAGCACTGGCCAAAGATTCCGAACATTTTCCTTCTAGATACACAACTCTTGAGGCAATTTCTAAATTCTTCTTTAAGCTGACTTTCCATTCTACAATGAATTTTGATTTATACAGTTTACTTATTAGTTGTAACAATAGATTTTTACCTAGATGCAACATGTATTTCATTTAAAAAATGTAAAGATTTTTGCAATAATAAAACCATTTAAAATAATTGATAGATGATGTGTTTGTTTACCATATATCATGTAGAACATTGACATGTCAATTCAATAAGTTTTTGTGCTGATTTTACTCAGAAATAATATTGTTTATCTTTTTTGTTTTGAGTTTAACAAATATATATCAATGCTATCAATATTAAAATAAATGTGGATAGTGTCCACATGTGGACACAGATGATGCCCCCGCTTGCATATCATATAGTTATAAAGCTAAGGGACATAACTGAAGAACGGTAAAAGTGACGCTACCCAAATTTGAACTTGATCTGAGTTTTGTGGTAATAAGCATTGTGTATAAGTTTCATAACATTTAGTTGAGGTAAACTTAAATTAGAGAACGGAAACTAAAAATTTTGCAATTTTTCCACTTATAAAGGGCATAACTCTAGAACGGTTAAAGTGACGCCACCAAAATTCAAACTTGATCTGTGTTTTGTGGTAATAAGCATTGTGTATAAGTTTCATAACATTTGGTTGAGGCAAACTTAAGTTAGAGAACGGAAACTTAAAATTTTGCAATTTTTCCATTTATAAAGGGGCATAACTCTAGAACGGTTGAAGTGACGCCACCAAAATTCAAACTTGATCTGTGTTTTGTGGTCATAAGCATTGTGTATAAGTTTCATAACATTTGGTTGAGGCAAACTCAAGTTAGAGAACGGAAACCAATTTTGGGACGTACGGACGGACGTACGTACGTACAGACGGACAAGGGTAAAACTTAATGCCCCCACCGCTACGGTGGGGGCATAATAACAATTGAAAATACTGCAAATATATTTCTACAATTTATGTTATTCATGAATTACCTCTGTCTTCTAACTGTTGCAAAACTGAAGATGATGGACATGCTAATTCTGGTCTAGATGAATGTACTCCAAAAGTTTCCTATCAAATAAACAAAAAATTAAATTTAAAAATGAAAATTTTCTTACTACATTGTGTACATGTATCTGTATAATTCCAGCTTACGGCCCAAAAGGTCATAAGCATTTGTTATGCCACATAATAACTTATCATAGCCAAGCTGCTGACATTATTCACTAACTTCTAAATAAAGAACCAAAATAAAGCCTTAGTAAGGTGTGACTCATAATATTTATACATGTAGTAAGGCACTTGTGGGTTAAATTGATTACTGATTATACTTGGACACAAGTAACTGATCTTTAGATGAAAATTAAAATAAATCAAACAGCAGCACAAGTTTATTTAAATGAAATACAGAAAATGTTTTACTGCACATGTACATCATTTTATTGTTCAACTGATAGGAATTTAAAAAAGAACCCATTAGATCTTGATGAAACTTTAAGAAAACTTTGAAAACCACAGTAAATTGTTTCTCCTATGTAAAGGGTTAGGAATTACTAGAGTTTAGGCACCCCATTGAAAATTTAATGTTCCCTTTTTTCAGTCAGATTGATGCAAAATGTTTAAACTTTGTTATAATAAATTAAAAGATATGATTGTTGAAAAATAGATATGGATAATGGTGTTATATTTCCTCTTACGTCTATACGTTTAGTATTGTTAAAAACTCCATTTTAACTAAAAACAATATTTCAACCAGATTTGCTATTTTTCTCTTTATCATGTTTATGCAAATAAACAAATAATCTTAAATGGAAGGGGAATGAAACGATCATTTTAAGCTTTTTAGATGAAGCTGAGAACCAGGTATTCAATCCTGACTGTTGCCTTTTCCCACTTCCCACTTTAGTTAATTTAAAAAAAAAAATATTGATAAAATATTTTATAAAATTTCAATGTTATGATTTCTTCAGAAAATTTCTGTAAAAATATCATGTAAACTTAAAAAAAAAAAAATAGACAATATGTCGATAGTACATATGTGATGCACCACATGCATACAACATTATACAGGGACATAACCCCAAAAAAGTAAAAGTGATGCCACCTAAATTTGAACTTGATCTGTGCTTTGTGATATTAATAATTGTGAATTAGTTAAATAAAATATTAGACAATAACTTTGTGGGTCCCCACACTTCAGAATTACAGCCAAAAAGAGAGACTATATGTATGTATGTGCCGGTCCCAAGTCAGGAGCCTGTAATTCAGGGGTTGTCGTTTGTTAATGTGTTACATATTTGTTTTTCGTTCATCATTTTTTGAACATAAACTAGGCTGTTAGTTTTCTCGTTTGAATTGTTTTACATTTGTCATTTCTGGGCCTTTTATAGCTGACTATGCGGTATGGGCTTTGCTCATTGTTGAAAGCCGTACAATGACCTATAGTTGTTAATATCTGTGTCATTTGATCTCTTGTGGAGAGTAGTCTCATTCATGGCAATCATACCACATCTTCTTCTTTATATTTACCATAGGGAGAAGTGAAGGGTCGTGTCATGTTTTTTTTTAATTCAATTTTCAAAGTCAGGAACCTAATGTTCAGTGGTTGTTGTTTGTTGATGTGGTTCAGTAGTGATTCTTGTTTTTTATAATTAGATTTCCAAGTTTGAATGGCTGACACTGGTCTTTTTTGGGGCCCTTTATAGCTTGCTGTTCGGTGTGAGCAACGTCTCTGTGTCGAAACCTGTACTTTTGATCTATAATTGTTTACTTTTACAAATTGTGACTTTGATGGAGAGTTGTCTCATTGGCACTCATACCATATCTTCTTATATCTATCTATATCTTTTTATTTCTTTTAAAAGCATTTGTGTATGACAACTGCTAAGGAGGTATTTCCCTGCCTTGCCATGCTTGTCACATGCTTGTGGTCTGAATTTCATTTGTATCTACGGACATATATTGTCAAAATATATCATAAGGACCGTAATGATAAATCTATAATACATTTTGTAGCTACAGTTGTGTAGATAGATCCGAATGAATTGAAGATAATTACCCAAATTTTGCTGCATCTTAATGATTTTTTAAACAAAAGTATGTTTGGAATTGCTTGAAATTGCATATAGCACACAGTAAAAAGGCAAAATCCCTAAAAAAATATATTAATATAAATCAATTGAAAACTATGAAATGTTAGCCTAAATACCTTACATACATGTACAGTTTCACTGTCTTTCTTTAACAAGATCTTAATAATAAAAAAATGTAAGTTTATAAATTATTAACAAACTAAAAACATATATGATATTAAAGTTGGGTCTAAAAAGCACATTGGTGGCAATGGCCTTGTTACAGGAGGTACATGTAAATAAATACAACCATAAAACCATTCTAATGAATCGAGAATTGGTACCTACGGAACATAAATTATTTCTAGACTATCCTGCAGAATAACAATCCTGAACATACTTGAACTGACATTTTGTGAAGTTAAGCGGTCAGTGTAACAAGTTGTATTTTGCCAATGTATGAAGGAATTTCTGAACATAGACTAGAAGGATAAATTCTGGATTTCTTTGTAAATTGAAAAATCATATTCAGTTTAATATGTTAAAACATTGTCCACAATTGTTTACTGCATGTTGTAGCAGATTATTCATCCTGTACTGTGAAAGCTCATTAAGTTTTAGCTCTTACCAAATCTATGTTAATCTTTTTTTAAATAATTTTCACCCCCCCCTCCCCCACCCCCCAAAAAAAAAAATTAAATGGTGGTCCACTTATTGATCCTAATTTGTAATAGACTTCCATCGTTTGTTCAGCTTTTTAATGTAGTGTTCCCAAGTTTTTGTCAAGTGCACAACTTAAGACTAAGAAGTTATCCAGTGTATGCTTTCGTTTATACCAGGAACGACTTATTCGTAACTTTAGTTAAGTTTAAGGCCATATATGATGCACGTGCGGAGCGTGGGACCTTATTAAAACCTGGGTACATATGAAACCTTCAGATGTTTACAATTTGTAATGACTTTTGTAATAGGTATGACAAGCTATTGACGAGTATTGTACGCACATCTTCGGTTGTGTCTCGATGTTTTTTTTAAAGCAATAAAGGTGGAGGGTCTATGTTATGAAGTTAAAAAACCCGCAAGACACACTGTTTAAGCACTTATTGCTGCATTTCAGTTGGCAAGCTAACTTACTTTCACTGAATTACTCATAACCCTGCTAAAAATATTCTTATATTAAATAGAATCAACTGTAGAATTGTTGTGACCCCAATGTGAAGCAACAATGGCCGACAAAGATGCTCTGCAGCAGTAGCAATATCACATGATCCAAGCAACCAATGGGACGTACAGCCCCAGACTTTTTTGTAATATATGATATGATTGGTTCCTACGTTTTGGTAGGTAAATACTATGCTAGCAGAGGTCGGATGGGAAATATTCTGCATATGCCCAAATTAATATTTAAATTAGGTTAAGTTGCGACGGCGGTTTTCATTGGCTGCTAAAAGGATACATGGTGCTCTCAAACTCCCATCATCCAATGCTGCATCCTATAGCGTCCATCTTCCACATTTCTTACCACTGCGATAAAGAAAAAGCTATATTTTGTCGACATTTTGATAATATATCTGAATAGATATTGAGAGTCTGTGTATATATATATTTCCTCTTTTATACGGCATCGTATTTTTGAGACAAACTAGCAAGAAAACTACGACGATAGCGTATTTTTCTGTCTAAATCTTTTGGTACCAAAACCAAAATTATTTCTGAAAATAGATTTGTATATATTTGTAAATAATTGTTGTACATAAAACGAGACATAAAGTAGCCAGCTAAGTTTTTTATTGACACAGAATATAGTCCTTTTGACTGTTACGTCTTAGTGTTTTGTATTTGCCTGCAGTTGAAGGAATTTTGTAGTATTTAAATTTTTTAACATATTTGATCGATATTGTTTCATACTTATATTATAGAAATGTTTAACACTAACCTTAATAAAGTTTTGAGAAGCGTTTTAATTGCAGGGGATTCCAACCTGAAGCAGCTTGTACCAATGTTTGAATACCCAGTTAGAACACTGTGCATACCTGGTGCCAAAGTACAGAATGACCGGAAAGAATTCTATTCCCAACTGATGAGTGCCATGAAGACAGAAAACCCGGACCAGATTGTTCTGCATCTAGGTTCGAATGATGTATTTGGTGATGTTGAATCAACTTTGAGGTAAGGAGGTTTAAAAAAAACAAATACAAAAATTTATACCGGTAGTCAACTTTCGATTTGTGCACTTCCCTTAAAATCCCCTTTAGTATGTAACAATACATCTAATCGCTATTTGTCCGCCATTACTGGACATCACAAAGGTTCCCGTGAAATTTTGACACCACAATGGAAAAGTGATTGTTGTATGACATCAAAAGTTAAAGCGGCGCAGATTCTCAGGCCCACTGGCGCAGATTTCCAAATATCGATAAGGTGTATGGTTATGTTATTACGTCACAGTAAAAACGGATTGTTCAATGACATAATTTATGCCGATTGACCCCGAGTCAACCAGTGTTGCTCATTCATTAAAAAACAACTCGAGATTGGTGTATTGTAAACCTGTTTGCTGATACTATATAAAAATAAAAGAGATGAGGTATAATTTCCCATTAGATGACTATCCACCAAAGTTCAAATGTAGTGTATGTAAGCAATCATGAGGTTCGTAATAGGGGACCTTCATGATGAACAATGTTAAAAATTCTTGCCAAATGATGTTTTTGGTGCGTTACCATGATTACGATAAAATTTACATGTTTTGTGATAAAAAAAAATGAATGAATTTGGCCGAACACATTAAATTCTTTCCCAAAATAACGGTAACCGATAATTATTTGAGATCTTTGACAAATCATGTAATTTGATTGGCTGATTATTATTGATTTCAAAGAAACATTTGTTATATATAATATAAAATTACCTAGTTTCTAATGGTAATGAATTTGGCAGGTATAGCTTTCCTTTTAATTATAAACAATAGGTTGAATAATCTTATTTACTATAATGAATATGATGAATATTATTTGCCTCATGTACAAGTTTCTTATTTTGTCTATAGATCTTATAGATTCCTGATAGAGAATTTGCTGCTGAAATTTAAATCGTTGCAAATAGGTATTTGTGGCATACTTCCCCGTGCAGTAAACCACTATGAGAGTAGTTATTGGAACATGTCAGCATTGCCAAGACTGCAGAGAGATGTCTTTAAGTTGAATGCTGGTATACAGTCTTTAACTTGTGGTTACAGTAGATGTTTTTTTATTGATTATGCACAGCTCTTTAAACCTGCTGTTCATCTTGGAAGGGACGGACTTCATGTAAATAGAAATGGAGCTTTTATTTTGAAGATGACTATAGAGAACTATTTAGCAGAGAGACAAAAGTGTGTTACATCCGTGACTGCAACCTTATCTCACGTACAGGTACCTGATGTAGAATCTTTGTCACCCAAGATGACCTATGCAGAAGTGGTGAGACTACCAGTACCTTCTTCTGATACAGGAAAGAGACCTTTTGACACGGTATTTAATAGATTGTGTATAAGAATAGATGAAAGCATATTTGTATTTGTCTATCACTATCTTGCATGTCTGACAAATAACTTGTTAGAAATTAACATTTGATTTTCTATGATATTTTTTAAATGGTCTCCCTGGCATTTTAATTCAGGTTTTTAAATGCAGGCTCTGCCTTTGAAAAAAATAAAAGTACATTTGTTCATTGTACATGTTGATGTACTAGATAAGAAATGGAATTATAAACAAATCATAACATGATAATGACATAAGTATTACAAAATAATGGATTTACTTTGAATATTATCTTTTTGTGAAGTGTTTATTATAGTTAACACAATTGAAACGGTTTCCTTACTGTTTATGCAGGAACATATATATTGACGGGACTTGACACTTCCTAATTGTAGCCAATTTTATCGTCGTGTCATAGGTAATAAAGATACGATACGGAAACGGACATGTTTCAAAAACGTACTCGCTATTATCCTAATAATTTCTGATAATATCAATAAAATGTCATTCAAACTAGTTTTACAGTTGTATCAAACTTGTATTCTGTCACTTCAAGTTTGTTATAATTGCATTCATTTTATCACAGAATGGTACAGAATGCAAACGGTATTAAAAAAATGGCGCCAATTGTATTCCCAAATTCAAAAACATTATAAAACACTTCACATCAAATAAATCACACTTATTTTGGTCATTTTATATGACAAAATATATCTACTTTATGATAAAACTTGTATTTATTTACGATTAGAATTATGTGATTACTTTATTGAGCAGTTCCGATAAATTTTCAGTCAGACGCCACCAAAATCCATAAATCTTGCGAAGTCTTGAGGAGTCCGAGATTTTATCAATTTTATACTGGAAAGCCTATCCGATTCATTTCCCGTTAGATATACTGTTCCCAGGTTTATGTAACTGCTGATTTTATATGATATGTACATGTATTAACATTTGTCTTTGATTGATGTTGAGAATTACATTTGAATGTTTATTACAGGATGCTGAACATCAGAATTCCTCAAGAACCCCTTCTAAGAGGAAGAGATTGTCTTCAGCTGGGGCAAGAAGATCAAATAATAAAAGAGTAAGTGAAAAATTAAAATTTGTACTATTTAAAATAGAAAATATCATTTTATAATACAAAACAAAGATAATATCATAAAATCATAGATTCTCTATAAGTTCATAAGCAGCTATGATAGACCCTAATTTAAAGTTATAGGATAAATTGCTAATAGATAAAAAAAAAAATATAGGGCTGCTAACATGCATTTTATTGACATTTCATGGGAAAATATACCTGTCATATTTTATATATATTTTGAATTAATAAAGATGGGATGTTAACAAAGTTCGGTGCTATATTTTTTAAAAGACTTATAAATTTATAGTATATAAATAAGTTAAAAAAACATAACTGATTAAAGGTTTGTGTCCTTGTTTTTAAGATGTAAGCCATTTAAAATTTGGTGGGAATTTATTCTCTCTAGATTTTCCATACATTTAACATTAGCACCTTTTTCTTTTAAAAACTATGTAAAATAAAAATAAAAGGCTTTTTAAACTATATGTTATAAATTAGGAAAAGAATAGACGGAGTTAGCATTCTAACTTTTTGATGGAACTACATGTGAATAAAACCAGAGGATTACCAATATCTGTCAAAAACAAAGACTAGCAAACATCCTTAAATGATTTGAACAAAAATTATATAACTTTATTTGTTTTCATTACCTTCTTAATTTAGTCTCACAGAAAACCAAGAGGAACTTATAAAACAGGGTTTGTCATCGTTGCATTATTGTGTTACCTTTTAATGTGTTTTTGTTATTGTAATTACTTGAATGAAGAAGTTTTTTGATTTACAACTCCATTGATGTCTTACTAACATGAATGCATGATGTTGAACAAAACTTTGAAAGTTAATCGTTATAAGTTGAAGTATTCTAATTAATTTTAAATGACCACTAAATACCATGGCATGCCTATAAAAAGTTGATATTTTTTTTCTTTTTGTAATTACTTGAATGAAGTATTTTTTGTGGTTTAAAACTTCATTGATATCTTACTAGCATGAATGCATGATGTTGAAGAAAACTTTGGAAATTTATCGTTATAAGTTTAATTATTCTAATTTTATTTTAAATGCACACTAAATACCATGGCATGCTTTTTAAAAGTTGATATTCAAGTGTTTTAAATGCTTGCATGTTAAAAAAAATTGCAACAAAACTTCATGAGGCAACAACAATTTTAGTGTTTCTAATTTTAAATACTATCAAGGAGCTTTTACTTTAAAGGATAGGTTATCTAGAAGTCTGAAAACAAGTACACATATGATGTATATATAAATACTATAGCACATTTGAATTTATATTGTATTGCAGAAGATTCATTTGTACATGCTTAAAAAAAGGTTGAAAACAATGAAATATGAATAACAAAATCCTTTAATCCAAGATTGTACCACAACTTAAATCTCTTCATAGTTTTAAACTGTTATATTTTTCTAATTCTACTTCCACTTCTTATAGATACAGTTTAAAGAGGAATGAAATAGTCCTAGATGTTACTGAGGATCTGGCTGTTATCTTGTCATCCTCAGTCATTCATGGTTTCTATCAGGTATTGTTTTGTTTACTTAAAGACTTATGCTGATATTGAAATGCAGAAAATTAAAATATCATTTATCTTAACATTTAATTTTTTAATCCCTACAAATTATATAGAAAGATTAATGAGACATAATTTTTGAATTCAAAGGCAAAAACATTTAAAGAATACAATAAGTCGCAAGTACAATGTTGCTTGAATACATTTGTTACTCTATCCTTAATACTTTCTTGTGCTTGATTTTGTTAAGTTACTATTTCTATAAAGCTTAAATTATTCAATTACCCTGTAATATCATAGGAAATGTACTGAATTATTGGACTTGAATATTCATTTTATTGCAAAAAGGAAGATATTTGAATAATTATTGCATTTATTTTAGACTGACACGAAAAAGCAATCTGTGGAATCCTTACAAGTGAAGCAATCAAAGAAAACAGCTGTGACTAAGAAAGAAAAAAAAGTAATCTTGTTACAGTTTCTATTCAGTTCAAATATTTACACCAAATAATAACATAAGTTAATTAGAATTTTTTTTAAATAATCTATGTAAACGTTTTGAATTCGGTGTATTTCTATCTTGCGTCTATATTAATTTTTTAATAGATTGAACAGAAAAGGCAGATACAATAGTTTTTGTACTGACATGATTATTTTCTGCTTTTAAACATTATTTTACTGTCAGTATTTTGTTTTTTGTGGGTGTTTGATTTTTTTTACCAGACATCCAGAGGAAGGTGGTATTTAATCTTGTTTACCTACAGATATTGAAATTTGCAAATCATACCAGATTGATAGATGTATGATATATCAAAAGTTGTTCATTTAAAGTTCAATATGCAATATTGTTTCAGAGCACTTATAATTGTCCTGTTTGTCCAGTAATATGCTCCAGAGAAGATTTTCTGATAGACCATGTTATTTGCTGTCATGCTAAAAAAGGTTTGGTATTAAAACTTCTTATAATTTAAGTATTGTGCTTTTCAGTTATGATATTTTTGGTATATAGAATGATTTTCGAAATCACACAATAGGCATTTTTACATTATAGTGGTCAATATTAGGATTAATATAGGATTGAATGAGACTTCTCAGGACCAGTATGAGCAGTATTAAAGTGCCTTCCCTGGGTATAATGTATTATAATAGGAACAGGAATGAGTATATATTAATTAAGCACATTTAAAAATGTATTTAGTCCTCACAGAAATCCGTTTGTATGTTTTCAAATATGCAGATTACTTCAGTCCGTTTATTTTACTATATTATAAATATTCAGTTATCACACATTCATATGATATAACAGGAACTATAAAAACAATTGTTACAAGGCAAGCAACACCTCACAGAAAAAAGACACCTCACAATTTTAGACAATGAACTGAACATACATGGACTAGATACCCTTACAGTTTGTTTTTATTACTGTTTTTTTATATTGAGATAAAAAAATAATTTACTAAACTGAAAATTCTGTATTTCAAGAATGAATATTATTTAATCTCAAAAATATGGATTAACTTTGGTGATCCAAAAGAGTAAACAATTTCTCATAGGCACTTTCTAAGTTATTTAAGATATTACTGGTATTAAATATATTTAAATTTCCTATGCTTGCACACCTCTAGAAAATGAATGATATGTACAGTCGAATAGGATTGCTGAATGCAAATAGATATGTATATGTTAAAACTTATGGTGTCTTTTTTTTTTCCAGGCAAAACTCACTTAGTCAAAGATCTTTCTCTTCAGGTTTGTAATGTTTGGAATTCATTATTTCTGGTGATAATCATTTGAAAATGTGGTGAATTAGTTTTTGTAATTATTTTGTGCGGTATAAAAGAAATGTTTGAATTATTGGTTGTTTCTATATACACAAGGAAAAAAGAGAAGAAATGCATGTACCAATCTGACAATTTATTACTTATAGATACCCTTTTACAAATTTATTTAGGTTTTTGAAAAAAATACTTTTTTATTTTGCTAGGTACCAATAACTGAGGAACCTGTAGAGGAGCTTAGGAGTTCCTATGACGAGAATGATAAACACATAGCATATGGTAGTGTATACATAGGTAAGAGTGTTTTAGGAATTTTAATGTATTGGATGACATAATCTTTTCCACTATATTTAATATTGCAATAGACTTATTACAAATGAAATAGTATGGGCTTCACTCAAAAAGATGCGTCTTTTTTCCCTTGTGCATTTTGTGTATCTTACCTTTCAAATTAGGGTGCTATTTTATTTTTTCCTTGTCTACAGTTACATTTTAAAGCTAGATTGCAACATTTATGCTCTATTATTAATATATTATTTGTGTGCTATGTCCCTATTTAAGCTTAATTTTCGAAATCACACCACTTCCAGTCATATATTGATTATAAAATTCTGAAGCCAGCAAATCAGCTAGGTCTAGGTCAATTGAACAAACTTCTAAGCAAGTCCTTTATTGTTACAGAGGGTTATGAAGTGGATTGTATTATTCCATCACAAACAGAGTTTGCAGAGAGTGATGAAGTGGAGTGTAGTATTCCAACAACAATAGAGTTTGCAGAGAGTGATGAACTGGAGTGTAGTATTTCAACAATAGAATTTGCAGAGAGTGATGAAGTGGAGTGTAGTATTCCAACAACAATAGATTTTGCAGAGAGTGAGGAAGTGGAGTCTAGTAGTCCCACAAGAATAGAGTTTGCACTAACAACAGTGAAGGTTTTGGCAAGCAGATGTTGGAAGAACTTCAAAAGGTTTATCCTGCATCTCTGTGGGGATGTTGAAGAAAATCCAGGACCTACAATGGTAGATGTAAAATATATTTATATTACATGATTTTTTAACCAATATGTCCACTTATGACAATTTAATTAAAAACCCTATTTGACTTTAAAATGTACAGGATAATAACAATGAAGAATACAACAACTTCCTAAAAAAAATCAGACAGCGTATGCCCAATACATTTATGTTTTTTTATGATATAACAGATATATGAAATACATGTTGTATAGGTTCATATAATTTTTATGAAGTGATTTTCAGGTATATAAACTTCTATAACTATTTGTTTATTATATATGCTTTTATTTTCTTTCAGCTGAAGTGCAAGTGGGAGCAGTGTACAGAGGACAAGTTCGCTGATATTCGTCTATTAGCCCAGCACGTGATTTCGCACATTCATCCTGGAATTCTTTGCCAATGGGAAGAATGTGTATATTGTTGTCCAAATGAACAATACAAACTGGAAATTCATGTGCTACAACATATATACTTGGTACAGATTTTAATTGAAATTATATATAAAAATAAAAAAGATGTGGTATGATTGCCAATGAGACAACTCTCCACCAGAGACCAAATGATGTGGAAGTTAACAACTATAGGTCACCATACGGCCTTCAACAATGATCAAAACCCATACCGCAGATGAAGCTATGAATGAAAGGCTTGAAGTGAAAAGTATATAACAATTCAACAAGAGAACTAACAGCCTTATATATGTACAAACAATAAATGAAAAACAAATATGATATACAGCAACAAACGACTAACACTGAATTGCAGGCTCCTGACTTGGGACATGCACAAATACATACAGAATATGGCGACGTTAAACATGTTTGCTGGAGACAAACCCCACCCAACCCCCTCCACTTTAACCTGGTGGTATAACAGTACAACATCAGAACAAGATATAAGTAACAGTTGAAAAGGACTTAACTCATCTGATTGATACAAAGCGCCAAAAAACTGACAAAAATACAAAAGACACAAAGTATAGATTTGAGAGTACTCAGAGTTACTGAAAACTAGATCAAAGCCAAAAATAACTAATAAAAAACATGTATCTAAGACTATGTGCCATTACTAGTTTCACAAGTTATTTAGGGAAAAGAAAAATAGATTAAAGAACATCATAATTTCACCCAAAAGAAAAAAAAAAAGTATCTTTGTATTGCATGAGGCTAATTGTTATGTCTCAATCAATGGAGATCATATCATATATATTACCATGTAAATTGTACCAATTTTCTTTAAATAATGCGGAGACATTGATTTTAAAGCATTTTTATTTGTAGGAACAGTTTACTTTTCAGTCAATTGAAGAATGGGGAAGAGCACTTCCTTCAGGACAGTTTTCAGAGAATTGTACTGATCTTCACTTGTGTCCTCCTAATTTGGTGAGGTTATGTCCATTTCAGCCTAATATAAAAATAAAAAAAAACACTTTTGTACAATCATTCAACATTGCATATTCCATATCAATTTTTATTTATTAGTATTTGAAATATGTAGTATGATTGACAATGAAACAACTATCAAACAGAGTTGAAAGAATGTAGATTTTAGCGACTAAAAGTCACTACAATCTTCAACAATGAGCAATACCTATACCATATAGTTAGCTTTAAAAGGGCACAACATGAAAAATGTGAAATTAAAAAACAGTCTGATATATTTTTAAAAAAAATAACGAAAAACAGATATGTCTTGTTTACAGAATATAAAAATAAGAAGATGCAGTATGATTGCCAATGAGACAACTCTCCACAAGAGACAGATTGCCATAGAAAATTTAAAACTATAGGTCACCCTACAGCTTTCAGCAATTATGTTCATTATTTCAGCAAATATTATATTTAATTTATCATTGGTATGCCTAAATGTTCATTAATGACCTTCACAATAGAAAATAAATCTGCCATCAAGAACCTACATGTATTAATTCAATATCAGAAATTTGCATTATAAGATGTCTCAAATACTAAAAACAAATACGATATGTTATAATGCACACACATATATGTAATATATATTTATACTTATTTTTGTTGCAGAAAATTAAGTTAGGCCTCCCATTGTTAGATGAAGAATTTAGTATGCCATCTCAGTACCCGTATACTGTTAAAGATCATCAGCTTTATGTACTACAATTACAGACAGAGAATCCCGAAAATTATGAAAGATTAGTATCTGCCTTTCAACAAAAGGTTGAAACCATGAGTGATACTACAGCGAGTCAATCTGGAACTGAACCCTCAACTTCTACTAGTGGTAATACCACAGAGCTGACAATCCAGGGAATTGATCAATTGGCTGTCTTGAACTCTAACATGACACGCTCAAGTCAACAGGTTATTGTCACAAACCGTCCTGAGCTGACAGGTACCAATCAGAGTACAGTAAAATTTACACTCAGAGATGAAACAGAAATAGTAACAAGGAAGTATATCTCAAGCAATTCTAAGAAGAGAAAATACGTAGCCTCCAGCATTCAAAACCTTAATGATAGAAACATGACCGAAAATGATCTAATAACAAACTTAAATATGTGTAGACAGGCTATTTTGGTGGAACATAATATAATCAGCAAAATGCAAGATATGAAATTTCTTGATCCAAATAATTGTCTATTTTTATTTGAGGAAGCTGCTATTAATATGTCAACTTATCCAGACTGCTCTGAAGGAGTTTTCATTTTTTCAATCTTTGATATTGAGATTGAAAATCACAATGCACCTGTACATTATATACGATACATAGAATCAGGATATTACAAACATTTCATGGAGGAGACTTTTCTGGATGTAATATGTCAAACGTTAGGAATTCTGCAAGATAATGTATTCTTATGCAACATCCTAACTGGTGGAGATCAGCAGAAAATGCTCATCGAAAAGAAAAACAAGGACTCAAGAAAATCTAGAACACGCCCTGACAAAATTTATGCCAACAATTTAAAGAGCTTAAAATCTAGAAGACAACAATTGTGTGAAAAAGTTAAAGACTTTTGTGACATTGAACTAGCTGCTTGTTTTGTGCACACTGCTAGACATGGTTATAAAGTTAAGATAGATTCAGATGCCAGTGATGGTCTTTACTTTTCATCTAACAATGAACTATTCCACACAGAAATCATACAAAACAAGATACTTCATTACCCAGAAGTGAAAAATGCAGAAGTTAGTGACAAATGCTCAGATGACTTTATGAAGCCTCTCCCTGCTAGTAATGTTAATAACCTATGTTACAAAAGTTGCATGATTAACTTTCTATCAAATGATCACAACAGATTCCTTGGAAAAGATAATTTGCGCTATCATTACAGATTTTCAACAAGTCCAAAGGCCACCTCTTTGAGAAATCGGGTATTGTACTTGTACAAAAATCATCAGCTGAATGAACTTCAAACCATTTACTCATCTTTCCAACAAGAAGACCAGAATCAAGAAAACATAAATAACCAAAATATGAATGATCCCACTGGAGAACCTCAAACAAAAAGAACAAGGACATTTATTCCACGGAAGAAAATTCTGACAAAAGAAATGGCTTTGCAGACTATTTCAGGACAAAATGTGGAAAATATGTTCAAAAAAGTAAATTTATATGATAACTACAAGAAAAATCTTTTACAGAATCGAAGTTTTATTATCCAGGTTTACGATGAAGAGAAAGTTATTGCAATTATGAATGATTATGATGATGAAAGTGGGGAATTTAGAAGCTCTGATTATGTAAAAACATCAAGGGATCTTTTCGAGAACGGTTATTTTTACACTTGCAACTGTCGTATCTATCGTACCTTGTTGGAATCCCTGGATAACAATATGGAACAGTTTGATGCTCTGGATGAAAATGGTATTAAATGCATGCATTGTCGTTTTTTGCATCAAGAGGTATCACCAAATTTGGAAAGGAATGAGCAAGCAACCGTAACAAACATTCAAGTAGTCATACAAGATGCTCTGTTATACAAGGATAGGAAAATTATTGAATTGCCAACTACAAGACCAGGAACCAAAAAATTTTCAATTTTGATAGATGATGACATTTCATTAGTTCATTTGACATTCAATTCACGTCTTCAGCGCTATATAGTTTCCTGCTTGAATGGATTATGTAAAAGTAAAAAAGGTTGCAAGAAAAATGTTGACTGTCTTAATACTGATCAAAATTTATGTGTTCATTTGTCTGAGCTGAAGAATGCTCCTCATTTTTGGACAGAATTTAGCAAACCTGAAGCTGCAGTGAACACTGAAAATGATGAGAATATACAGCTTATTGACCAGGAAATTCAAGAAATTACTGGCAATGACATAGAAGAAGAAATTCCTACTATGAATTCCTGTGACTCTAATTTTGATGTGACTAGTGGACTTTGGTCATTTCCATGCATAAGTAGTCATAAACCACGAAAACAACAAGATCCCAATCTAGTTCAGAATATACAACATCGTTATATATTGGGCGCTCTTAACTTAAACAATGTTGAAAATGGATGCATTAAAGGTCCACATCTTATTCCAGATATTCCAACTTCAGTTTGTCCATGTGGCGCAGGATGGACAAGTAATCAGCAGCTAAATGGTGTAACTACATTTTCCAGAGTACTCACTATCTATACAAAAATAGCACCAGTACAGTGTCAGGTATATAGCAGAAGCTGTGCTAATGAAGAATCACCATGTAAAAAAGCCTGGGATGAAGGAGATAAAGAATGTTTACATGTAGTTACCCGAGATACTGCAGCTGGAGATGAAATTGGTTGGGCATTTGTAAACCAGGTTTTGTCCACTAAAATAACCTTTTCAGCATTCTGTGATTTAAAAACTAAAGACTACAAAGAATGCAATCCTAATTTCAGGTCATTTATGGATTCATCTGTATTCATAAAGTGGTGGTTTAGTTGGGCATCTAATATGAAGATTGACTTTAGGAAACCTTGTCCTATCTGCAAATTTAGACCTAAACAACTTGCTTGTGATGGAACGAAAGTTGGTATTGGATTCAGACATGCTTCTTTTGATGAAATAAGTAAACCAGATAATCCTGACAATATACTTCCTACATTACATCGTAGAATGGCAAGATGCTTCCTTTTCGACAGAGTTGGAGATAAAGAACAACTTAATACTGCCAGACACCATTTGAACTACTTAGCGAAGTTAAACCTTGATAAAGTTCCACCTCAGGAAATATTATCTGATGAAGAAACTCAGCAGAGAAACAACATACTACTAGAAATATTGGACAACTCAGTAAGGCCTTCTTTCGAACGCTTTCTTAATAACATGCCAGATGTGGAAAAGATATCTTATGCCTTCATATTGCATATGCTTTGCACTACTGCACCAGTTATCAGTTTAATTCCCTATTCTTACTTAAATAATCTGACTGAGTTATTAGACCACATTAGTGGCCTTAATATAAATGCTGCTGGAAATGGCTTTTACAACAGAAAAATGTATGAAATGAGAGAGTATGCTCCAGAATTAAGAGATTTGATTGCTTCATCCATGCTTAGTCATGCCAATCCTCAAGGAAATAATTTTGTTCCTGATGATGTCATTACATTTATTCGATATTTGATCAAATGTGTTGCAGATATGGAGATCACTCAACCAGATCCTGCAAATCCACAACCAGGAACATATAACCCAGCTAAGTATGGAAGAGCTTACTACTTTTCAGAAACTGGTGAAAAATTGCGCCCCGTTAGAAAATTTACCATTGACGGTGAGAAGAGAAAAAACCCAGCATATGATGACCCACCTCTTCCCCATGACAACTGTGAGAAATATTTTTCAAAAACCCAAATTTCAGCAAGAGGTACATCAACATTGTTTTTATGGTTTTGTCCAAGTCATGGTCACTGTTATGGTTTTCATATGACCAATGCAGAAGGCAGAAAAGATCCATCAGCCTCCCTTTACTCACATCTGGAGCATCCACCCACGGATATCTTCTATGATTTTGCTTGTAATCTACAGGAGTATTGCCTGAACAGAGAAAGTGGCTATTACCGATGTGTTCGTTTCTTCCATGATATTTTCCATGGGTATTCTCATAAATGCTCATGTGCCTATAGATCTTCAAGACTCCAAGGATTTGACACAATAAACTCTGAAATATGTGAACAATTCAACAGCTTTATCCAGTGTATTAAGTCCTCAGCACGCCAAATGACCCAGGAACATTTTTGTTTTTATCTGCAGTTTTTTTTACATGAATGGAATGAGAGAAAAAGGGAAAAATATCAGAAACGAATTGCAGTGGCAGTTGCTGGAGGTCCATAACTACCAACAATACCCATAATTATTCTTCAAAATGTAATACCAAATAATTTTTCTTGCACATGGATATTTTACTTAAATGCAATATAATTCTCGTCATTTACCAATATCATGAATATACATGTAGCATATATATTTATATATATATAGATATCTCAAAAAAAAATTCTGAATGATGTAAAAATTTATATCAATTGCCTTTTGCCTCTTATAATGGTATAATTAATGTGTTTTTTAACAGGTAAACCTTGTCACAAACAATACCTCATTGAGCAGATTTTTCATAATTCAGTTGTAATTAGTTGAATGTCCATTAGTGTTTTAATTGTTCATTACGTACATTTTTTTAGTAAATACAGCACATGATTACAAAATTTTGGTCAGCATTTAATTTTTGTTTGTTTGTTAAATGTCCTTTAGTATCATAGTATCATATATTTTTGGGGTTGAATGTCCATTTGTATCATAATGTTATATATTGTATTGGTAAAATTTTCCTTTGTTTGTTAAATGTCCCTTAGTATCATAATGTCATATATTTTTGTTGTTCTTTAAGTACATTCTTTGGTAAATGCAATGGTAATATAGTGTTAAATATTTTTTGGTTAAATGTCCCTTTGTTTGTTAAATATCCCTTAGTATCATAATGTAATATATTTTTGTAATTCACTTAGTAAGTTAGTGGTTGTTTTTGGTCAGCATTTCAAAGATTTGGGTTTTTTTTATTTAAATGTCCCTCCGTATTAAAATGTTATACATTTTATTGGTTAAATTTCTCTTTGTTTGTTAAAAGTCCCTTAAAATCATAGTGTCATATATTTTTTGGTTAAATCTCCCTTAGTATTATAAAGTAATATATTTTTTGGTTAAATTTCTCTTTGTTTGTTAAAAGTCCCTTAATATCATAGTGTCATATATTTTATGGGTAAATCTCCCTTAGTATTATAAAGTAATATATTTTTTGGTTAAATCTCTCTTTGTTTGTTAAAAGTCCCTTAATATCATAGTGTCATATTTTTTTTGGTTAAATGTCCCTTAGTATTATAAAGTAATATATTTTTTGGTTAAATCTCTCTTTGTTTGTTAAAAGTCCCTTAATATCATAGTGTCATATATTTTATGGGTAAATCTCCCTTAGTATTATAAAGTAATATATTTTTTGGTTAAATCTCTCTTTGTTTGTTAAAAGTCCCTTAATATCATAGTGTCATATTTTTTTTGGTTAAATGTCCCTTAGTATTATAAAGTAATATATTTTTTGGTTAAATCTCTCTTTGTTTGTTAAATCTCCCTTAATATCATAGTATCATATATTTTTTGGTTAAATGTCCCTTAGTATTATAAAGTAATATATTTTTTGGTTAAATCTCTCTTTGTTTGTTAAATCTCCCTTAATATCATAGTATCATATATTTTTTGGTTAAATCTCCCTTAGTATCATAAAGTAATATATTTTTTGGTTAAATCTCCCTTAGTATTATAAAGTAATATATTTTTTGGTTAAATCTCTCTTTGTTTGTTAAAAGTCCCTTAATATCATAGTGTCATATTTTTTTTGGTTAAATGTCCCTTAGTATTATAAAGTAATATATTTTTTGGTTAAATCTCTCTTTGTTTGTTAAATCTCCCTTAATATCATAGTATCATATATTTTTTGGTTAAATGTCCCTTAGTATTATAAAGAAATATATTTTTTGGTTAAATCTCTCTTTGTTTGTTAAATCTCCCTTAATATCATAGTATCATATATTTTTTGGTTAAATGTCCCTTAGTATTATAAAGTAATATATTTTTTGGTTAAATCTCTCTTTGTTTGTTAAATCTCCCTTAATATCATAGTATCATATATTTTTTGGTTAAATCTCCCTTAGTATCATAAAGAAATATATTTTTTGGTTAAATCTCTCTTTGTTTGTTAAATCTACCTTAATATCATAGTATCATATATTTTTTGGTTAATCTCCCTTAGTATTTAATATATATATATATATATATATATATATATATATATTGGTTAAATCTCCCTTAGTATTATAAAGTAATATATTTTTTGGTTAAATCTCCCTTAGTATTATAAAGTAATATATTTTTTGGTTAAATCTCCCTTAGTATTACAAAGTAATATATTTTTTGGTTAAATCTCCCTTAGTATTATAAAGTAATATATTTTTTGGTTAAATCTCCCTTAGTATTATAAAGTAATATATTTTTTGGTTAAATCTCCCTTAGTATTATAAAGTAATATATTTTTTGGTTAAATCTCTCTTTGTTTGTTAAAACTCCATTAATATCATAGTGTCTTTTTTTGGTTAAATCTCCCTTAGTATTATAAAGTAATATATTTTTTGGTTAAATCTCCCTTAGTATTATAAAGTAATATATTTTTTGGTTAAATCTCCCTTAGTATTATAAAGTAATATATTTTTTGGTTAAATCTCCCTTAGTATCATAAAGAAATATATTTTTTGGTTAAATCTCTCTTTGTTTGTTAAATCTACCTTAATATCATAGTATCATATATTTTTTGGTTAATCTCCCTTAGTATTTAATATATATATATATATATATATATATATATATATATATATATATATATATTGGTTAAATCTCCCTTAGTATTATAAAGTAATATATTTTTTGGTTAAATCTCCCTTAGTATTATAAAGTAATATATTTTTTGGTTAAATCTCCCTTAGTATTATAAAGTAATATATTTTTTGGTTAAATCTCCCTTAGTATTATAAAGTAATATATTTTTTGGTTAAATCTCCCTTAGTATTATAAAGTAATATATTTTTTGGTTAAATCTCTCTTTGTTTGTTAAAACTCCATTAATATCATAGTGTCTTTTTTTGGTTAAATCTCCCTTAGTATTATAAAGTAATATATTTTTTGGTTAAATCTCCCTTAGTATTATAAAGTAATATATTTTTTGGTTAAATCTCCCTTAGTATTATAAAGTAATATATTTTTTGGTTAAATCTCCCTTAGTATTATAAAGTAATATATTTTTTGGTTAAATCTCTCTTTGTTTGTTAAAAGTTCATTAATATCATAGTGTCTTTTTTTGGTTAAATCTCCCTTAGTATAAAGTAATATATTTTTTGGTTAAATCTTCCTTAGTATTATAAAGTAATATATTTTTTGGTTAAATCTCCCTTTGTATTATAAAGTAAAATATTTTTTGGTTAAATCTCTCTTTGTTTGTAAAAAGTCATTAATATCATAGTGTTTTTTTTTTTTGTTAAATGTCCATTAGTATCATAAAGTAATACATTTTTGGTTAAATCTCTCTTAGTTTGTTAAATCTCCCTTAATATCATAGTATCATATATTTTTTGGTTAAATCTCCCTTAGTATTATGAAGTAATATATTTTTTGGTTAAATCTCTCTTTGTTGGTTAAACATCCCTTATTATCATAGTGCCATGTATTTTTTGGTTAAACTCCCTTAGTATTATTTTTTTGGTTAAATCTCCCTTAGTATTATAAAGTAATATATTTTTGGGTTAAATCTCCCTTAATATCATAGTATCATATATATGTTTTGGTTAAATCTCCCTTAGTATTATAAAGTAATATATCTTTGGGTTAAATCCTTCTTTGTTTGTTAAAAGTCCCTTAATATCATATATTTTTTGGTTTAATGTCCCTTAGTATTATGCTTCTACATGTATATATTTCATCGGTTAAATGACTCTTTGTTTGTCAAATGTCCCTTAGTATCATAATGATGTATATTTTTGTTTTTGGATTTCATTAAGTACATTTTTTTAATACAGTTGTAAATTTTGGTCAGCATTCAATGATTTTTGTTGTTGTTAAATGCCCCTTAGTATCATAATGTTATTTATTTTTGGTAAAATGTCCGTAAGTATCAGAATGTACTATATTTTTGTTGTTTATTAAGTACAAATTTTTGTTGTTGATTTTATTGAGTATATTTTGTCGTTAGTACAGTTGTAATTTTTTGTTAGCCTGTCAATGATTTTGTCAATTAAATGTCCCTTAGTATCAAAATGTAATATATTTTTGTTGTTGATTTCATTGAGTACATTTTATATAAGTATATAGCATGTATTTACAGTATACAGAAGAGAACCAAGGGGGGAGGGGTTTACAGTACTAGAGTATCTGCAAGTTAATTCCTGCTGGATAGCAAGGTGTGTCTTTGACACACCAGCAGTTTTCACTGCTCAGATCCTTAAACTGCAGGTAGACGGTACAGTATTGTGTTTTTTTTTCATGTGTTTTTTTTTTTTTTTTTTTTTTTTTTCATGCTGTTTGTATGTACTATAATTGATGAAATCTTTGTTACATCTTTTTTTTTGTTTAGCTTATTTTTTAAATACTGTGAAAGTGCTATAATAAATCAGTTTGTCTCTAATAAAATTTTATTCACATTTGGATATAATGTATTACCTGATGTTCAACATAGAAATCACTTCTTCAGATACTGCATCCTCAATTTCAAATTAAAATAAAACAAGCCTGACAATTGCTTACACTTTAATTATTGCTAAAATAAAACACTTCTACAGTATTTAAAAGGGGTTTTGATTTTTTAAAGTTTATGTACCACTTATATTTTTTATTGAAATACATGTTACAATTTACAGGTTATTGAATAAATAACTAAAACCCCTTAGAATATTATGAGTGGCTGCTGTTATATTTGATCAGTATACACCATATGTTTTTATGGGTTTTGGTAGAATCTACAAGCTGCATCTAATTTTAAGATGGTTCAACTGTCCAAGTAAGTTTAGAGAAAGGTATTCTAACCAATAAATTGGTTGATGTTACATGTATGACAATTCTTAAAGCTGGTCGTGATAAACCAGTATGAAATATGAAATATTCAAATACATTCTTGAATATTTCCAGAAATAATGAGGGAAAATATTAGTTGTTTTTAAACAGAACCCTTACATGTACTGTTACTGGAGTAGGGTCATAATGTTTCAATTCAAAGTCTATCTAAAGTGGATTGTCAGTAAACCTGCTACACAAACAAGCTTCATCTTTTCAAATCAAATGCAATAACAGTATATATATATATATCAGTCTAGGTGGCAGAGTGGTCTAGAGTGATGGACACACCTAGATACAGTCTGTAAGTATTGTCTGTGGTACTTAGATACAGTCTGTAAGTATTGTCTGGTTCTTACGTACAGTCTGTATAGGGTACGTAGGTCTATACATAATGGTTATTAAATATAGTTTATATGCATTGTCTGTGGTT